CAGCCCTAAATGCAGAAATACAATGCTGAGAGCCTTGACCTGACTGAGATCAGCAGACCTTTTTTTGTTAAAGCAAGTTCTCATTCTTACTGAACACTTGAAAACTGATGTTATGCACTGTTAGGTATTTTGTATAAATTTTAGTTTGGAATATTTTTGACTTTCACATTTTGCTTCAATAACTGCCTAAAGGTTTTATAAACAGGCTTTCTGCAGCTTTTATGATGGTAAATTTAAGACCATGTAAGGAAAATGTAAGGAATGAATTGAAGGGAACACAATGTCAATGTTTTAAAAATCCAAATGTCTAGGGAGCACACAGTGAGTTGTATTAACAATACTTGAACGTTTAAAAAATACAGCTTTCTATACAGATCTATACCTCTGCTCCCAACAACTAGAGTATTGAAATAGTCAGAAGTTTTATGGTACCTGCAAAAAAGTGATGTTCTTCCTAATTTTTATGTCTTGTTTTGAAGTACAAATGTATAAAATCTAAATCTAGTCTAAAATCTTGTTTTAAGCATTATCACACTTAATGTTGTTAGATCTGTCAGAAAAAAGGCTTAATATCTTCATTTTGCATCGAAAGTAGAATAATCTTGGTTTAAGTATGTTTAGATATTTGCATTGGTTTAAAAAAAAAAGTGTACAAAAGTGTACAAAACAAAGTTTATTACAACACCGTATTTACAAGAATTATAATATACAATGTTTATTTTAATAAAACAAAATGAGTTCGAGACTTGAAACAAATGAAACAGGCAGAAACTTCTGAAAGCCATCAGGATATCGTCCTCTTTTGGAAGACCAAACAAAGTCGTTTCGCTTTAACAACAAAACACAGCGCCTTCACGACATGGCGGCGGCAACAACATTACTACAGCAAGAATAAAAGTTACGCCTTCTTTCTTTGCGTGAACATTTGGGCGGCGTTATGCAAATCTTCCCACATCGTGACATAGACATGTGGGGGCGTGTTAGAACGAGCTGTTTTAGGTAGGCGTGGTTGACTCTTAACTTTTATAAAGAATATCTCTTTGGATTTGAGACTTTAGTATTTGCAACTTTACAGATCTTCTTTATGCACCAAGAGCTTGTAACACTCCAAAGAGAAAGGAAAAATTGAAATCGCATCATATGACCCTTTTAATAATTAAGAGTGTGACCAACTAGCGGTTAGCAAAGGGGTAATCAGTCTTATTTTTGGATTCAACTTAGATTAATTTATGATTTCATGTAACTGAATGAAAAAAAAAATTATGACCAGTCTTAAAGAAAATTGGATGACTAACTTGTAAGACTAGTCTACGCCTTTTATGCAGCCAGCCCCAGGTTTATTTCTGTACTGTGTACTGGATGTATGGGGAAAGGAAGGATCTCATTCTCAGCAAACTACAAATATTGCTCATATGTCGTATGATTGAAGCATGTGTGTTCACTGTGTGTTTTATGTATAACATCAGGTCAGAGAGATGATATGTGGAGTCCAGTCTGGGGGAGAGGAGAAAGCAGCTCGTCTTGCATCTCTAAGAAAAGCACTAAGAAACCCAGAGACCCAACAAACTTTCATTAAGTAGGACTTCAGTGCTAACACAGAGTTCACTTTATATTATTTGCTGCGCTGCATCATCTTGTTTATACATCTTTTTTCTTCTCATTTGTTTTAAATTAATACATTTTGAATTAAAAATGTTTAATTATTTACTTTTTATTGTTATTTTTATTTCTTAATCATTTTTTATGATTATTTTATGAATATTTACAATCGTTTTTATGTAAAGCACTTTGAATTCCCATTGGGTATGAAATGTGCTATGTAAATAAACTTGCATTGTGTTATTTTAGGAGGTCTACAAATTATATTTTTACTGTGTAGGGGTAAATTTCACACAAAAAAGTCATATTTCATCCCTAAATTAAACAGGAAAAATGTGCATGTTGCATGCTTCTTTTAGGAACAGTAATTTTTATTTATTTTTTTTGCATTGTGCTTAATTGTCATGAATATAATATCACATTTGCACATTTTTCATTGAGATTGAATATAACAACTATATTTATAATCCTTATTATCTTATATAGTAAAGATAATATAATGTACTTATAATATATTATTATTTACTCTTATTTAATATTTATATATTTTTATCATATATTTACTTATTTGAAATTCTAATAATATTTATATTTATGTATTTTAATCAAATAAATGCAGAGCATAAGACACTTCTTTCAAAAACATAAAAAAAACGTTATTAGATATATAGATAAGATACTGTATTTACTAATGCAGTGCCTGTGTTTTTCTTCAGATCAGAGAACAGCATGCACATGTTGATCGGACAGCTCAGCTCTCATAATGCTCAGTGCCAGCTGGAAGCCGCACGCTGTCTGCATGAGCTGTCTCACTCTACTCACCCCAGTGTAGGGCAGGCCTGTCTGCCTGCCGGCCCGTACCTCCTCACTTACCTTTCCAGTCAGAGCACCAAGCTAACGGTCAGTGGGATGCCACTTTGAAGTCTGTGTCAGAGGCATGCAATCGATCAGTCCTTTTGAATTTGTCTCTTGTGTCTTTTCCTTTAGGAACTTTGTTTATACACTCTGGGAAATCTGTGTCCTGACAGCGCTGTGGTGAGAGAGAAGCTTCTAGCTCAGGGAATAGTTTCTGCACTGGCAAACTGCATTCAAGTAAGCTCATTTAGGTTACTAATAGTAAACGATTACTGTTAACTCTTATAATCGACTATAAATCACTAATCATATACACTGATAATGGTATGTATAGCGTCTCTGAATGCATTCTTACAGGCTGAGTCTCACAAAAAAAATCTGGGTTATATTTCATCCCAAATGAAAAGAAAGAGACAAGAAATAAAATTTTGCATGAAGAAAATTTATTTTTGGACAGCTGATAATTATGTGCACATTCACCCCTTAAGTTATACTTGTTCTCTTTATTGTCAGTGTTGATTCTCATTACTGTAAGAATCATATTTTTGTTTTTTATTTTTTATCTTTAATATTGCTGTAAAAAGATGATTAATTGTCATGTAATGCAGAAAATAATAATGAATTTTTTTTTTTCTTTTAGGAAAATTTTCTTTCTTTCTTTTTCTTTCTTTTTAATATGAGGTTAAATGTGACTTGGACATGTTCTTGAGATCATGAAATAGTAAAATTGTTTTTCTGTTTTTCTAGAATCAGAGGTATAATCTGGTGGTGGTGGAGGCGGTTGGCTTCACTTTGTCTCAACTGTTACAGGTGAAAGACACAAATGAAAAAATCATCCCGTAAGTGACCACAGCTTGTTTCGTTAATGTTAATGTTCATTTGTAGTATGTGCGACAAATGGACTAAGGTCTTGGCACACTGAAATTGCTATAGCTTACTATAAATAGTTAATGCTAATGACAAATATTTAGGGATGTAACGATTCACTCAACTCACAATACGATACGATTCATGTTACTGATTTCATGATACGATTTTCTCACAATTTTTATATATATATATATATATATATATATATATATATATATATATATTTTTTTTTTTTTTTTTTTTTTTTTTTTTTATATATTTTTTTTTTTTAACGAAATGAGATTTAAGACAAATAATAAATGAAAATGTGTCCTTTTATATTGCTTGCACAAAATTCTTTATGAAATTGAAATATGCCAAAAAACTAAACAAAATGGAAACTTTAAAACACACCCCAAATCAAATAAATAATACAAATAAAAGAAATCTCTTCATATAAGCAAACTAAAGTTTTGCCTGTGCTCTTTCCATTTAAAATTAGAGGCAAACACTGTATTTTTAATCACGATTCAAACAAAGATGCTGCATGCATGCAGCATGAGCAGTTTTTGATTTTAATTAGATTGTATAATTTCAAAATTTGAAGCAAATACAGAATGGTCTGACTTCAGCTTTGTGAAACTATACTACATAAAACATATCTGGACAAAACAGAAACAGCAGACTATGAATCGTCACATATTTTTATCTCGGGGTGCATCATTACATCCCTACAAATATTAGGATATTTATCACAAATTTTTCTGTGCTTGTTGTATATTTGAAACCCCAGAGCGGTCATGGCTTCAGGAATAGTCCCTCATGTGATCTCAGCGTTGACTCCAGATCCTGAGTTTGGTTATGGGCCAGCGACTGAGTGTACCTGGTGTTTGCACTATTTAGTCAGCAGGTGTGGTCTTTTCTCCTTTCATAAAAACTTACTGAACAATGACAGAGTGATGGAGAGTTGTGCTAAAACCTGTTTAGTGACCGTTCTTCAAGATGGCATGAATTCTCTTTCAATCTCTATCTGGAACAAAAAGAGGCTAGTCCGTAATACATCAGTTGAATTGTGTCATGATGTTGTGGTTTGCAGTAATTCGGATAACTCAATGCTGGTTGCTCAAGGCGCCCTCTCTCAGTGCAGTGCTGTTTTGATAACACTAGGAAGCGCTGTTGCTCAAGGAAACCTTGAGGGTGGAATAGAGTTGGTAAGTCAATACAGCAAAACATTTTATACCCACATCACGTACATACTGCACATCTGGGTTAGGATGAGAGTAATTTTGAATTAGTGTGTTCACTGAATAGAAACATTGCCTATTTATAATTCAATTATTAATGCTTTTATAATCAATGCTTACTATTGCATTATTTTATGAATTTCACAAAAGCAAGTCATATTTAAACTTAAAGGGGTCATATGATGCTTTTTTAAAGATCATTAT